CTCAACACAGCCTGGTTTCTTGTATAAAGTTGGCTAGACAAAATGAGAGATATATAGGATAATGTCTTTGGAAAGCGGGTTATTTATTTTTATTTCTCCATTTCATTTGAACAGCAAATAGTTATAATGAATTAGATAAAAAAAAGAAAATTCCTACAAATTATATCTGTTGCTTAAACTTCAGAAGGCTATTCTATGGAAACAGGGACCCCTTGGTTGGAACGCACATGGATCTTTTTTGTCCTAAAGAAGTGCCAATGAGTTTTCTGAACCCAGGAGCATTGGTAAAAATATCGAAGAGTTAGCATGGCTGCGTGGGGTCGCTGGTTCGAAGAGTTGGTCTCTTGCAGAGTAAAGTGCCAGTTTTGCAAGATTGATTTAATAAAAGCGCCTCAACCATTTAAAAATTTCGATTATCATTTTCCCTTATTCCATTACTGTTGTAACCTCTCAATACTCAAAATTTCGGGTTTTTCCAACACTCCGTGGATTACTCCACCTATTATACATTACCCAGTTATAAGTGCAACAAATTGCTACTTATAATCTGACAGATTTGTACTATATAAGGCTATCGGAATGTTTTTATCAGTCAGCCTTTTGATCTAAGATATGCATTTTTAAATAGGTCTTTGTCTGTTTACCTCAGTCGCTTTATGTCAAATTAAATTCGGACTATCATTTCTGCCTAAATCGTTTTTTACCATAATCCTATATTTCCCTACCGTTTAATCTCATAATACAGGGTTATGCCAAAAACTGCCAATCATTTTGCTGTGCTCACTTTCCCGTGGCCTGGGAGCGTATATACACCAATATCGTTCCGACAAATCAACCTGCTGCAACAGTTCCAGATTCTTCCTGCTCGACCAGTTTTATACACACTACTTACTCACTGCAGATTCCTTCCCCTCCACTTTCCTCAGCAGATGAAAAATCAAATACTTTATCTTCTGCTATCTTATCCTCTCCCTCCATGACAGTTTTTTCAGGCCATCGGACAGACAAGGCCGCTATTACCGCCACTCCTCAAGACCCTACAAACTCGATTGAATTTAAGGCTTTCTGCCCCCTATCAACCCGTTTTTCATCAGAAAAATTTCAAGAAAATCATACTTCACTACTTGAAGCAGGGCCAGCAGCTACCACCACTAGAAATCTACCTGTTAGTCCATCTGCCGATACTGCAAGATCGGATTCAGTGGCCACAACATCCCAAAGGAATCCTGCTATTTCTATGGTGTCTCTTTCATCTCCTTTACGTACATCTACTGCTTTAACTTCTTCAATTCCTTCGTACTTATTTATTACCCAGCAGAACGTTAATCAACACCAACCATCACCATCGTTTAAGATTTGTGCGGATGAGGGCAAGCAGGTTCCTTCAACTGTCTCGTCCCTAGCTAACCGACCCTCAGTATTGCTGGCCGGTAGTATCACCGAATCTTCAAGTTGGAAAATTGGTGACATTCTTAGCCACCAATCATTACCTGAATATAATGAAGCTCATATTCCTGTTGGCCAGTATGATATGAATTTTTTAGATCATAATACTCCTTTACTCAGTTATCATACCTCTTATGGGTATCATGAGCCATCTGGTGTTAAAGTCTCTTTGCCCTACCCCCAAGACTCTGAGCGCGACCTTAACTAACACAGTCTTTTTCCTGATCTATCAAAGCAGCCGTTCTAATTCACTTGAACCGCCTTGACCACCTTTCAGACAGCTCCCTTAACATCTAGCCTGCGGCCACAGCCATATCTACTAAGCCACCACGTCTCACCATCAACGCCACCTGGTTAGCATGGGTCGCATTCATTGATTCCTTTGCATTTGGATACAGATAATGGGCTTCTAGTCGCAGGATAATTTTGGCCGGTTGCTTAGATATTGTGACAGTTTTCAACGAGTTATCGGCGGCAGAATAGAACAGGTAGGAGCTTATTTAATTTACTTCTATGCTTATCAATATTTTGAAAATTTTTTTGTTATGTGCTATTATCATCATTTTTACAAAGCCAATATGTACCCCATCCCTCAACTATGAATGCCTAATAAAACATCAAGAAAAATATTGTAAGGCCTAAATGGGCCTCCTATAATTCAGGTATTCGGATTGATGGTATTAAGGACAATAGTGTTTTTTTAATAGCATTTCTAATGCGTCCCTCGGTTAGGTATTGGCAACTTCTATAAAGCACATCCCTGTGCTGTTTATGCGTATAAATGGCTTTTACTAGTCTTCATGATTCAGCCCCCATTTAAACTTAAATTTCCTCGTTGATTTACCCTCTTATTTTTTGCAGGCGCCCCATAAACATACTTCTCTCTATATATTTTTCTTTACCACTCGGAGCTTACGCAATGGCATTTTATTCTTTAATTCTTTTGCGGTCGGACTCCACCCTGGAAACAAAACTATCTGGCAAAGATTATGTAACTAATTATGCCTACATCTACCATGGAGTTTTGTCAAGAAACATTTAAGGAGAATACAGCTGAACTTTGTCTTGTCGAGTGACAGCTGGAATTAAGAATATCAAACTTTGGTTTGGAGGTTCTATCTTGATGAACGATCTCTTGCTATTTTGCCATGATCGAACGTGCTTTTCTCAGCTATATTGCTAAGTGAAAATCTCAGTCGGCCCACCTAATTTTGCTTGGTTGATTTTTATGACATCAATCCTGTGCTCACCTTTCAATTCCTTAATTTTCCAATATCATACCTTGGTCTAACTCGTCGGTAAACGAAAATTTCGAATAATCTTATTCTTATCATGTCATTACGACTTTCCTTGAAGCTCCTGGAACGTTTTTAGCTGAAACTTTCACTGTCCATCCTTAACGCGTCAACGAAGACTGAAAAAGGCAGCAATCTTTTGTTATTTTTCTTGCTCTATATCCTTTGTCAATAATCA